TTTGTCGTCTTCCCGTGAGCACCCAACGCGAGGCGTCCCACAGTCCTTTGATTTACATCCATTCCCGATTGCACCTCTGCCCTCATGCACACCACTGAGTTCCCAAAAGTAAGCCCTGGAACCATTACACCCTTCCACAGACCTCGAAGCACCTCATACCTATTGTATCCCCACAACGCTCTGTGCTTCATTATTGCCGCATTCCTCTTTCCTTTTGCTGCCGAGGCTTTTTCCTGTACCTCCATGTATCTATCACTCTCATTTACCCATACTCCAAGGTACTTGTATTCACTTACCCTCGGTATTTCTTGGCCTTGTATGGACACCGTCTGATCACAGGGATCATTGAATACCATCAAACCACACTTCGTTACACTGAATCCTAGTCCAAGAGCTTCACCTTCCCTTCCGCATATATTCGCCAGCTGCTGTATATCATCTCGACTGTCCGCAAATAAGACGATATCGTCCGCATAAAATAAACCTGGAAGCTTCTGCTCAATCATCATGCCGCCCTGTTTGTGTGACAGATTAAAACCAATGTTGCTACCTTCTAGCGCTTTTTCCATACTCACCATGTACAGCATGAATAACAGTGGGGACAAAGGACATCCCTGTCTCAGACCCCTGCTAACCTCAACGTTCTCTTTGCTACGCATTCCTTCCCACTCTATGCAAACTGTATTTTCTCGGTATATCTCCCTCAAAAGCTGTATACAGTCGTCGCCCATGCCCATTCCTTTCAATATATCCCACAAAATTTCCTGATTAACGTTGTCGTATGCCCCAGTGATGTCTAGAAAAGCCACGTACAAGGGCCTATTCTCTATTTTAGATATTTCTATACACTGAGTGAGAACAAACAGGTTATCGTCTAACCGCCTGTCGACTCGAAATCCGTTCTGAAGTTCTCCCAAAATATCGTTATGTTCGGCCCATGTTTCTATTTTCATTTTTACTGCTTGCATCGCCAACCTGTATAGTACCGATGTAATGGTTAGTGGTCTATACGAGCGAATCTTGTCCTTTTCCTCCCTTGCCTTTATAGATTAAGTTCATTCTACTTTGTCGCCAACTGTCCGGTATTTGTCCGTCCTTTAAGCTTTTTTCTACTGCTTTTAACAATGCTTCTTTAGTGTTATGTCCTAGTTCGTTAATGAGGCTAACGGGAATCCCATCTAAACCCGCGGCAGTGCGCTTTGGAATTTTTCCTTCGGCCTTTTTCCAGTTGAAATTATCTAGTACTAGCTCTTCCTCTGTTGCTTTCTCCGCCACACTTTTACTCACTGGGGAGATCCCCTGGACGCTCTTTTGAAACGAATCGGCTGTTACCTTTTGGATGTAACCTAGCGCTTCGTACCCTTCCAATTGATTTCCTCCTTCATCTAGAATATGTTGTTGCGTTGTGACAGACTTCCTACCTAGCGCCTTTATGTGGCTCCAAAAAATCCTAGGCGCGGCCTCCTTTTTTTCGTGTATCTCTGTCATCCAGCGTTCACTTTCACCTTTAATTTTTGCCTCTACCAATTTCTGTACAAGGGATTTTTTCTCCAAATATATTTCCCATATTTTTTTTGACTTCGTCCTGCGGCCGCTTCTCCTTTTTTGCCTTTCTATGCTCCCGTGATGCTTCGCGTCGCTTCTCGATCGCCTCCCGGATTTCCTTGTTCCACCAACTTTTTGGCTTCCTTTTTCCTTTCCAGCAAACGGTTTTCTTCTCTTTCCCTATCTCCTTCGTCATTAGATGTAACAGCTCCCTATACTCCCAGTCCTTGCCTGGTATTTCGCCTACTTCTTTCTCGACTCTTGCGGCTATATTTATTATTTGTTTGTCATTTAAATACGAGCTGCCAGACTTTGATTCCATGCTCATATTTTTAGTTTCGTATCCCATTTGTAATGTTATTCGTTTATGATCACTACCCAAGCTGTTAATGCCTTCCTCGTCTATCCTCATTTCTGTCAGTTTGTGGTAAATTCCTTCAGTCATGAGACAATAATCAATACTTGATTGCTTGTTTCCGACTTCCCATGTGATCTGGCCGTCACATTTAGGCCCTGTGTTAACTATCTCCAGACTATGTTGCTCGCAAAGATCTAGTAATAACTTCCCATTGGTGTCTGAATATCCGTCAAGGTCATGTATGTGGGCATTCATGTCCCCTAGAAGGATGATTTCGGCCCCATTACCAAATTCCTTAATATCCGCACTCATGCAATCCACTATCTCCTGATTCTTTTCTCTGCAGTTATTCCCCGTCCACAAGTAGGCTACCCCTAGCCACGTTTCCTTTCCACCTACTGTGCCCAGAACCCAGAGGTGCTCTGAACACGTCTGTTTCACTCTAACCCATTTGGCTCCGCGGTGAATTAGCATTCCTACACCCCCACCTTTCCTTTCCGATATGGTCCTGTTACACCCTTCCCAAACATAATTTTTAATATGTGGTGGCTCTTCCAAGTCTCTAAGGTGTGTTTCTGTAACCGCATACACGCCTATCTGTTCTTTGTTTAACTGCTCCTCAATCTCTAACCATTTTGCCTTCTTTCTGCCACCCTGCATGTTTATGTAACTAATTGCAACACGCGCCTTTTTCCTTTTTCTTTTACCTTTTTTCTGGTTTTTCGCAATTCTACCTGTCAAAGCGTCCTCCTGTTTGTTTTCCCTGTTACGAGCTACCCCGGACTCCGAAGGGCCCGTGAGCCCCCCAAAAAAGCTACTGCGCGTCCTGCCAGTCGCCAGCCCACCTCGTGTCCAAGCCTCTTATCGAAATGAATCTTGTCTCTTTGGAATCCACCCCACCTGTGCACTTCCCTGTTTAAATCCACTACCTCGAAACCCTTCTCTCGACTAATTCGCCATATCTCTTTGTTTGCGTCGACTACCGCTCTTTGCAGGTTGATGTTGCGTACTGGTACTTCCAGTACTGTGCATACTACAATTTGCACCTGGGGGGACACGGTGCGCATGTCATCCACCCCTTTCGCCAAGGTCGTCGCTAGTCCTGACGATTCTTTTTTTAGGACGTCATTTAACCCTCCCGCAATTACAACGAGGTTGCGATTGTTAGCTTTAGCTGCGAGTTGTTTACCCGCTTGACTCATTACTGTCCCCAGCGTTTGTCCTGGGAACGTCCCTATCGCAACTCTCTTGTCGCCTTTCACCCTTTCTTTGATTGCTGCTGCGCATCGGACTAAATTTGAGTCACCGGCGATGATGACCTGTTCAGACATTCCTTCTGAAACCTGCACCTGGCTGCTGACTAGGTGACTAGCGTGAGTCACGGCTGCTGGTTTGCTCCCTCCCTCCCTAAAGGACATATACACACAGCGCCATCTATTGAGCAACTGATAAACTAGAGGTGGCTACATACTACTACTGCTACTACTACAGAGGAGAGAATGACTCACGATCTAGGGAGCTTCGCCCCTAAAAAAACGAAGGCTATGGGAGAAAGACTTAAATCAGCCGAAGAGGGACTAGCGAAGGTAAGCAAGATTAAGAAAGGAGCAGCCGATAGCGAGAACAGTAGGGCACCAGCCCCCAAAATAGCGGAGAAGAAAGGGGAAGCAGGCTCGGAAAACAACTTCAATCGGTTCAATGGTCACAAAACCCAGCTTCCACAAAATAGTTATGGGAGTGGGAGGCAAGTAACCTCCAGGTGCGCGAGATTCTAGCTGAAAAGTCGGAGCACGTGATAATCGTTGGGGACTCGAATCTAAATATATACGCATAAGCAATCAAGGAGAGGGTAAGAGGCAACAAGAGGGTTCCAATAGGGACATTCCCAGGACATTAGGTGGAATCAGTGATGAGCCAAGCGAGCGCAATACTCTCAATTAAAGCTAATGAACGAAACTGTTGTAGTTGTAAACGGTCTAAACGATGTCTTGAATGAAGAATCGGCAGGACTAGTAACCACATTAGTGAAAGAGGTCGATGGCATGCGTGCCAATGCTCCTCAGGTACAGGTAGTGGTATACACAATACCGTAGGTAGCGGTGAGTAACGGTAACCTGCAAAGAGCGGCTATCGAAGGAAACAGAGATATGGCAGATGAGTCGAGAGGAAGGCTTTAAGGTAGCAAAAATAGAGAGGTGTGTAGGTGGGGTGCTTTTCAACTAGACAGAATTCGCTTCGATAGGAGGCTAGGTCATGTGGGTTGGCCACTTGCAGGATGCGCCGTAGCTTCCTTGGGGGACACGCGGAACAGATAGGGGACACAAGGAACAGATAGGTGTTTATGCGGTTGCAGAAACGCACCTTAGAGACTTGAAAGAGCCCCCATAGATTCTGAATTATACTTGGGAAGGATGCAACAAGATCATATCAGAAAGGAAAGGTGGAAGTGTTGGAATGCTAATCCATAGCATAGCCAAATGGGATAGAGTGAAGCAAACGTGTTCAGAGTACCTCTGTGTTTTGGGCACAGTAGGGGGAAAGTAAACGTGGCTAGGTGTAGCTTACATGAGGACGGGGAATAACTGCAAGGAAAAGAATTGGGAGATACTGAATTGCATACGCACCAACACCAAAGAATTTTGTCACGGGGCCAAAATGATCCTTCTAGGGCACATGAATGCTCACATACAGGACCTTGACAAATATTCAGACACCAATTGCAGGTTATTGCTAGATCTCTGCGAGCAACATAGCCAACGTCCAATGGTGTGGTGTTGAAGCCTTTTCTGAATGAGTTCATATCCCATATTGTGTAACTTGCTCATTTTCCTTTTCATTGTGTTAACAATTGTACCTAATGCATTGGTTCAATGATACTTGGCGTGCATTTCATCCAATATCTGCATAATCTTTGTACCCCATGTAGTTTTTTTTCTTCTTTTGTTTTTATCATTTTTGTTTAACCTACTAGTTGTATATTGTATTTGTATCTCATTTTGCGAAAATACCTTAATGGTGTTGCAGTATTTATAAATAAATAAATAATAATGGGTCTCTAAGGTCCATGTCAGTGCTATAGCAAGAAATATTACAAAGCTATTCACACATTCCTTTATTTAAGGAGTCACAAAATGGCTTAATATCACTGACATTTGAATTTAATTACATAATGATGTATGTGAAAACTGATGTGCTGGATCTCAAAAGTACACTCTTCTGTATAATACAAAAATGGATAAAATATGTATTACAATTTTCACTGTATTATTTAACTCTTACTTAAACAGCATTAACGACTTGTGGTGATGTCGATGTGATACCAATAGCTTGGAACAAGGCCTTAAGCTTAAAGACAAGACAACACCCATCCCGAGAAATCCCCTACCTGTCTTAGTCTTGAAATACTTTACCTGCCTTAGTCTTTGTTAGACTATTTCATATATAAAAAGTAAAAATTTCCTTCCACAAATTTCTCACATGCAGTGTTACCAAAATTGAAAGTGTAATGGTATCCAGATAGATGTGGGTTGTCAACCTACTCATAGCATTTCATTGTGGTAAAGAACTGAACTAGAATTTTACAAAACTAAAAACCCAAGCACGTTACATCACAATGAAGCTTTTAGACACTACTTATAATAGAAAAAGGAGGGCTTTGATTATTCCTGGCTATAATGAGATCACGCGTATTCACAGTGATGTAAAATACATTTTCACATGCATGCTGAAGAATCAGGGAATCAATGCAAATTCAGGTTCCTCACCATTATAAACACTTCTCCCCATTTACTTTAGAATGTTAATCGCATTAAACGTTTATACTTTTGAAGAGGAGAGCTTAAGTTTACAATATTAAAAAAAAAAGCTTGGAGGAAACATGGGCTCACAGTGAGCAGACGTGGCTGTCCTGATATATAAATTTTTAAGCACAGCTCCACAGAATCCCATGTAGTACATATGTACTGTTTCCATATCAGTGAAATGTCTAAAGTACTATTGCAGAACGTAAAAATAATTATGCAAATATTGACATAATCACACATTACAAGCAATGAATTCAAATCCATTAGCATAAAAAAAACTAGTGCCAAGAGAGCTGAGGGACATCATATCGCACAAGCTAATACAGTAAAAAGAAAGCGAGTGATAGAGAAACAAACAGAAACAATAGGCTGGCAAGGTGACATAAAAATTGCAATCAGCAAAGGCATTCAGCTGGCAAGATCACAAAGGATCGCGTTTTCTGTACATGTACGAGCAAGCAATTCAAAGTCCTCGATCGAGTAGTCCTCGGGCATGGAGAGCAGTTCGATGTTGTGGCACGCTGCATGCATAGCACTGTCTGGTGCACCACTGTCAGCACTGGTGATAAGCTGAAGGACCATAGCAGTCTTCTTTGCTATCTCTGTCTGGCACAGCCTGCACGGAATGCACAACAAGGATGAGTCCACAGGGCTACTACAGTGCTACATGGTAAATGCTACTACATGAGTGCCCCAAAAACGCTCCTGTCACATTTTTCAGGCCCGAAAAACTTCATCATACCTGCATACTCGTAAACGTACCAGCTGCTTTTGTATCGGCTTACGGTGTCCTTCAGGTTACACCCTTTTCGCCATCAGGGGACCATGACAAATTATGTTTTACTTATTTTTCCTGCACTGATTCCCTTGTCGCTTTGGTATTGCTACTGCACCATGCCTACCATAGTCATTCATTGCTTTGCGGTGAGAGCTGCTGGTGCGTGAGCCGTCCAAGCACTCACGCCCCAGCAGTTCGTGGTTAAGCGGGCTTGTTGGTATGCACAGGGAGGTATCCAAACAGCGCAGAAACAGGACACAGAAGGGACCACAAAAAACAGGCAGTGTTGTGCATTCCCTTCACAATTCGGCGCTGTTTGAAATAACTATGTGGCAGGGATGTTTCATGCAACGTGATACACTGTGGCGAGGCATTGCAGCTGTGCTCAATAAGAGCCACGCTGCTGCAGTACAGTGGAACCTTGCTGTTACGTTCCTCACTGCTGAATTTTCTCGACTGTTACGTTGTCTTTCATCGGTCCCACCATAGCTCTCATAGAATCTCATGTATTGCGAACCACGCTGTTGCATCGCAACTAAGAGAACGTTCCTGCATGATGTGCCGCAACCTAGTCCACTGAACCCGCCCAGGTACCGCCATTTTGATTTGACGTTTAACAGTCTTAGCCTGGCTTGGCTGCTGAACAGGCTGCAAAAAGCTGCAGGCGAGTTGGAGAGGTCGCCCCTAGATAGCAATTTGTCAAAAGCGCTATCACCATCGTCACTGTGCTTACAACAGAAGTTTCACTACAGAATGCCGGAAGTGTGTGACAGTCCCATTGCCGCACCCCGCACGTTGTGCCTTGTCTTCAGTTGCTATTGTGTGTGCTAAGCCTGTTACCGTTGAGCTTGTCAACGCAATCTTTATCAAGCCTTAATGGCATGGCGTAAGTGAAAAGCACTTTCTCTTGAGGAAAAGCTGGACACACTTAAAGCAATCGACAAGCAGCTAGCGCGAAAAATGGTTGACATTGCCTAAGATCTTAGACTGCCACTGTCAACGCTCAACAGCATCGTCACAAAGTGGGTCGAGATTGAAGGAAATGCCGCTCTTTTCAGCCCGAAAGACAAGCAAGCTCGTGGTGCCAAGCACGGGAACCTCGACGAGGCTCTTCTCACCTGGTTCAAGCAAGCTCGCGCTGCCGATATTAACTGCGACTGCAGCACTTTACGCGAAAAGGCGATCGAAATAGCCGACAGACTAGGCATCGCTGATGTTGCGACGTCCAATGGCTGGATCGACCGTTTTCACAAGAGGCACGGCATCACTTACAAAACGGTAAGCCGAGAAGCGAAAAGTGTAAACGTGGAAACAGCCGATGACTGGAAGTCCACATTATCTGCATTGAGGGGTACGAGCCTCATGACATTTACAGCGCTGACGAAACAGGCCTCTTCTTTTGTGTGCAGCCATCGAAATCGTTAACCATGAAGGGCGAAGTGTGCCACAGAGGCAAATGCACCAAAGACTGGCTGACGGTGCTCCTTTGCAGCAATATGAACGGCTCAGACAAACTAAAGCCATGGGTGATGGCAAGTTTAAGAACCCATAGTACTTGAAAAACATTTGCCTGCTCCCATGCACCTACAGAAGTAACAGTCGTGCATGGACGACATGCACTTTGTTTGAAGAGTTTCTTCGATACTTCGATAATAGGATAGGTTCACAGTTCAGGAGGGTTCTCCTTTTCCTGGACTATTGTGTTGTCCACTCGAGAGACCTGCCGTTTCTACAAAACACCAAACTTTTTTTTTTTCTTCACCAAATATGACAAGCCACTTGCAGCCATTGGATGCCGGGGTCATAAAATGCATGAAGCATTCCTACAAAAAAAATCATCGTCAAGTGCTCTCTCGCATGTATTTATCATGGACAGCAGCCTACGACGATTTAAGTACTCGAAGCCATGCATTACGTTGCATCAGCATGGAGTGCAGTGAGTGCGTCAACTGCAGAGCAGTTCTTCAAGAGGTGTGGGTTCCGTATGAACAGAGAAGTGGAGCCTGCCATTGAAGCTCAACAATCAAAAGCAGCCTCCAGTGAGCAAGAGCTTAATGTGGCAATGAATGCGCTGTGTGCCACAGGTTTGACTTACGCCGACTACGTCGCTGTGGACGCTGCCGTCCTGATGTCGGAGTGCCAGAGAATTGCAGAGACCATTGCAAACTCGATCGCAACTGAAGACGGGGGGCATCGATGATGACGAGGAGCATGAGCCACACGATTCTGAAAAGTTGGCAGTGGAGTCGGCCGATCTCAACTTTGGAGAAGCCGTCGCGGCCCTGGACTACCTTTGCAGGAACGTTGCACACCAAAGCGACGCTGAAAGCAACGCTGCCTTCCAGATTATTGAGAAACGCGTGGTGCTTACCAGCGAGCAAAAGAAGCGGCAGTTAACTATCTTTAAATAGTTAAAGTCTCAGGCTCACCTTGCCGAAATAAAATGTTTGTACAGTCGAACCCAGCTACAACGAAACTGACGGGGCACGAAAAAAATTTCGATGAAGCGAACATTTTATTGTAGTAAGATCGAAAAAATATAGCTGATCTGAGCTAGCGAAACAAAGGAACGTTTATTCTCAAAATTCAAAAAGTGTCCACTGCTTCTTATGCTTCCTATTCTTTCTCAGCAGCGTCAGGAAGCGATTCACACTCATGCATAGCGAGGCCATGGTGAAAAACACGCTGAAACAAGGCCTACAACCACTTTCGTGAATGAACCAAACATCTACATTACGTGAACAGAAAAGGCAGCTAAAAAAAACGGCATCTGAATTTGAAACAAGAAGTCACTTTTCGGGTGTGATGAGGAACTGAGTCGATAGCGTATAGGTCCATACTATTAGTGTTGTGTTCAGAAGCATCCTTTTCTACATGTGGAGCAGACCTGTCACTGCTGAAGTCGAAGCGCTGGCTTTTGCATGGGTGCCTGTTGATACATTATCGCCATGCTGTGGAGTTGCTTTTTCCATGCGCAATAAATTTGGCGGTTATTTCACCAGTCATGTCAGGCACTTCAGATGCAGTTGAACCTTTGGTCCCCGCTGCTAAAGAGAAGTTTGCAGTAAAGCCAGCCGTTTCAGCAAGGCTTTCCCGATTTTTCGCTGCACGGTCAAGTATTTTGGCAACCATGGCAGGCACAGAATCTGAAGTGAGCGCAGGTTTTTTTGGTGCGTGCAACAGGTCGTTTCCCTTGTATTCTGCATGATAAGTGGCAGAGATCGCTTCTTCTGGGAAATGCTTTGCGCACACATGATCAGTAGGCTGCAAGGCTCTGTCAGCTCTCGGAATTGCCCATCACCACTTATCCAAGCACTCTGGTTCACACGGAGCCTCGAAAAGCAACACACACTTCATGTGTGTCGCTTTTCGCGCTCGAGCCGCATCACTGGTTCAGAAGTGGGGAGTTAAACCTAAGTTGACACACCGATCTGCCACATTTAGGAGGTCGCAATGTCGATATCAGAGTGCACTGCTCCGAAAATTCAAGGATCTTCAAAGACGGCAAAAGTTCCAGGACTTGAAAATGCATTTTTCAAATTCAAAGGTTTTCCAGGATTTCAAGGACCTGTACACACCCTGTTCAAAATTGCAAGCGCCACTGAAGCCCCCCTTTTCTTCAAGTAGAGCCACGGAAAAGAGACACGTTGATTCTGTACAAAACCACAATACGATCGCCTCCGACCGCCACCTAAAAGAACCAACAGTGATTAGGTTCAGCCTACGGTTCGGCATGCTGTCGCGGGAAGTTTGTACAAGACAACACAAAGATTGAGCGTCGAAAAGATCACACACCAGCACTGATCCAAGGGCAGCATGCGTGATACAATGTTTAGGTTTGGGGCCAAGAAATCAACGGCGACATAAGTTCGTCGAGCTTGTGCAAGTTCGCGATTCAGCAAATGCGAAAACTCGCGTCGGAAAGCCGAAAAGCTTTGAAATTTGCGGACGAGTAGCAAACGTGGTAATGACGACGTTTTTTCCAACAGGAAACTCAATGCACACCTGGCGAGGACGTGATCACGCGTTCCATGTGGAGCGCACACAGCCGGCTAGCGACCGGAACTACGCCCGCACATCGGTGCAAAGGTTACTCCTACGCCCAGGCAAGCGCCCTTTTTCCTCACTCAGCGAGCTGGTGCAGCGCTGCCACGGTCATTTTTTGTTTCCATTTTCTTCACTTCAGTTAACAGAAGAGAACGTCGAATTGTAACCGTGCAAAGATGGTAGAGAACTGCTGATCCTGGCCAAGTTCGGGGGTGCGGCTATTAGGTGCGGAAATAAATAGTCCAATTTCTCGCGACCAAACTGGTGGTGTGCCTATTATGCGAGTAAATACAGTATATAAAGAATTGCCGCGACTGAGACATTTGTGACCCGCTGTCGTTGCTTCCATCCAATGCAACTGCGAAAGCACGGCATTTCAGAGCATGTATACGTTTTCGGCATCTTGGCCACTTCCACCCATACCGCTTCATGTCCTTGCACTTCAGGAACATTATGTGAAACAACAGTCCTGCGTGATCACGAGCACTTAGCGCGGATCGCACTGCCATCTTAGCTCTTTTAGAAAGAAAAAAAAACCTCCTGATATCACCCTGCCCTTCTGCAGGCTGGATGTATTTTTCATGCTTCTGCCAAGCGATGTGCAGCTTTACTCAGGCCTTGCCGTCGAGCAAAACGTTTACATTACATGTGCACGCACATAGCACAGAATCTGCACACGTCACCTTTTGCAAAGTCACACAGCACAGGAACTCGGCTGTGTACGAGTCAAGAAACACTTGCAAGTACTTCTTTGTGCTTGACACCGTGGTGGGCCTTGCAACTGAACTCGGGGAACGTTTTAACCCCACAACCACGTAGCAAACACAACTGACGCCTTAGCAAGTGGCGTAGGCCTAGCGTGCGAAATGCGGGAGTCAAGGCAGACGGGTGCAGAAGTTGTACATTTTTCCCTCGCCTTCGCCCAGATGCGCAGTATTATAGTGCCTAGAAAATCCTTAGCCATACTCAATGGTATGGTGACAACTAGGAGTTTAGTTCTGTGTGCCCTTCCGCCACACCAAAACAGCAGAAAACGGTGATGTACGCGCATGGTTAAAAAAAAAAAAAAACTTTGCCATGGCAGCCACATTTTGGAAGCTTCAAGATAGTATTCATACAATTGAGAGACTAGGTCGAAATTCGAGAGTCTCCTGGACAATTCGGGAAGGTTGGCAGGTATGTACACTGCATATGCTAGAAAAAAATGCAAACATACAACAGGAGTCTTTAAAGGGGCCCTGCGACACTATTGGGACAGCCTTATTTAGCACCAATATGCATGTAGCGATGACTACTGAGACAAATGCAACAAGAATGATGGAAATTGGTGCACGGAAAGTGACGCTATGAGTCCTCAAAGTTCAAAACTCGAGCAGACGACAACGAGAAATGTCCTCTTTCACATCTCACTGGCCTGCTGACGTCAAAGACTGCTTCCAACTACAACACGCATCTCATAAAGACATTCCAGAAACGTCCCTTCATGGTGGCTTTCACACAATACCTCGCTACCGCTCTTTTTGATGGCGTCGTTAGCATGGCTACTACGAACCAGGTGCGTCGAATAGCAGGCGCTCCCGCAGACACACTGTGAACATATGCTTTGGGCTGGGTCATTTCTCGGCCTCCATGGAAGAAGCATTCTACAGCAATCCCGGCGTCCACCGCCTGTTGCATTTTTGGCTCGTTAAAAATGCTGCATGCATTTCTGCTTTTAGTTGCCGGCGTACTATAGCCTCGTTCGCAGGCTAAGTGTTGTGTTCGTTGTTCTGAAAATACATCATTTCGAAACAGGAGTGATTTCTTTGTGAGAAAGTATTAAAAAGCTTCTTCCTGTTTTTAGCATTCACTCGTATGGCCTAGCTACCACCATATGAATATTGCACGCTATTTCTCGCGTCAAGCCAATCAAAATCGAACGGTGTTTGTAGTCGCGTCACATGACATGACGACACTTCCTTTAACAAAATTAGCCGATGTGTGTTGCCGTAGTCTGAAATCAAGGTAGTTTGTCCCGTGAATTAAAATTATAACAGAGTCAATTTCGGCGTTGCCATGTGTGCAACAATATCAGAGCGTTCCACACTACCCGAAGAACCGATAAAAAATACATGCGCAAATAGTGTCGCAGGGCCCCTTTAAGACAAGAAAAATGTTGGCTTCAACAGCAGCCTTTGTTCAAGGATTTTTCATATCTGGAAGCAGTCCTGTAAGTCTCAATTTGTTAACACTTTCCTGTCATACTTGCATGTCATACTTGAGGACATTACCTGTCTCTTGTTGTCCTGCATACAAGGCTGGATATCGAACCACACAGAGAAAGCACTGCTGGTCGGATCGCTTCAAGGTCATATGTACCAAGGTCACCCTGAAAAGGAACCATTAACAATCTTACATCAACACCATTAACCGTTAGCAAAGGAACCATGAACAATGAACCATTATGAACAACAACAACCACCACAAAAAACCTGAAGGCATCTACATAATAAATCAGGTTTATTTCTTCCTAAAATATAAAGGCCTGGTAACAGAGTGGATGTGAAAGCTTCGCTTATGCCGATTACCCGCAGCATTCTCGGCATTTCATTCAGCTTTCACGGTGCTGTGCAGCTACTGTAAGGAAAACTAGATGGTTTAGCGTAAAAACTTGGCTTGTACGAATAGTGAATTTTAGGTTCGTAGCAAATAGTGATTTTCATCGAATAATTTCAAATCGAATTAGAAAAGTATATGTCATATATTATAAAGAAAAATGAGCATATTCATCATGACCCAACTAACCCGCACAATTTATTTAAAAAATTGAAACAAGGCTTGTGCAAATGCTATTCTTATTGGTAAAAAAAATAAAAAACTGGAAACATCACTTTGCATAGTAACATAATTTGACTTTTGGTAGAATGCAAGTGATAACCATGAAATATGTCACATTTCAGAATTTACTATACTTAGAGCATATAAGCCGGTATAACAAGCTTGTAAACTTAAAAAAAAAAGAATCGATGCAAGGGTAATATGTTGATTTGAAAGTGGGGCTTCATGATCATGCGAATTTCATTTGATGAGATGTTATCCCGGCCTGGCATTTTTTCACGGCAGAGAAACCACCTTTGCAGGGGTTACATGCAGTGTAATATATACACCTATTCGTTCATTACCAATACTTTGAAATTATTAACAATTTAAATTCGAATCAGAGCAAATTTGAGTACCGTTATATTCGTTCAAATATTCAAAGCATTCGAATATTCGCACAAGCCTAGTAAAAACATAAATGTTTGTTTTCTTTCTGATTCAACAAATCATTTTACTGATATGACACTATGGCGCTTCAGCAGTGCCATATCACTTATCCGTTTTCAAGGCCCATTCTACACAAAGAATCAGTCAGCCGATATATAATAGTTGAATTCAAATATTGTGAATTCATGAAACAATGAAATAAAGAGCCGATTTCACAGACTTCATTATATAGATGTACCTTCAACGAAGTTTAGTACAATACATTTTTTTTTCAATTTGCACAAACACAGCCGCACAGAGAGTTTAGCCGAACTGACCTCTGTCGCTTTCTTCATGGTGTTGCACACACAAAGAAAGTCGTGAAAAACTTTGCCACCTGTGCTCCAATTCTGGATTTGGTCACTGTGCTCTATAAGGGGTTGCAAGAGCTCTGCAAGCTCGCCAAGCTTGTCTGCAATGAAAGAAAGAAGAATGAGCACTCGTAGTGGTACAGTCAAATACACTTAAACGAACACGGATATAACGACCCATTGGTGATAAGCACCATATTACAGTGCACAAACATACTATTAGTGAACGACAAATGCACTCCGGTGAACTTGATGATCACTACAACAACTATGCTGGAAAAAATGCAAATAATCCCATAAAAAGGCGACAAGTGACTGGAAAATTGTACAAGCGAGTCTGCAAAAACGAAGCTCAAAATTGGCAACTTTGGTGCCATGTGAGATAAAGTGCACTTCTATGATGCTGAGGAACACAGCCACTGAGAAGTGTCGATTCACTGACAGCGAGCGTATCCTGCATGCTTTATTAGGTGACAACCCAAGTGCGCCGCCATGGCTCATCGTGCGGACAGCCACAGCAACACGGAAATCTGTAGTGCGTATTGCTCGCAATGTGCTTGTCTTCGCCGCGTTGAATGCACAGGCTACTTGCCGCACCTGTGCACAGCTGAAATGAAATGGTCATGAAGAACGCACAAGTAACCCAGCGGTGATGGCATGAGCCCAGTAGGTGATGTGCTACACACTACTAGCCAAAGATGGTCGGCTCCACGTGGCAGTTCCGCGCTTCAATGTAACGGCATCAGTTCACTGCAGAGGCTGTTTAGCTTGTGCACACACGGAGTGTTGCTATGGCGTCGCGTAACCACACAAAAAGGCTTAACTTGTTATGGAGGGATTAGCGATTTTCACTAAAACTGTGCAGGAAAAAAAAGAAAGTGAATAAGTTGCTCAATGAGCGTTTTTGAGGGTCATGACATATACTAATATAGCGACCACTTTTCGCAGCATCTTCTAATTGGTTATAGACAGGTTTGACTGTACCACAAATATTAGGCCAGCTGTATCTATTATTATTACCACGAATGTGCAAATACTCGAAACATTTGATATATCTTTAGTGTTTGGTATTCGATGCTTATGAAACAACTAGCCCACCTAAGCAACCTTGTGTTTAAGCTTTTGATAGTACTGCTGTAATATGCGCTTCAGGACTGGATGCAATGCTGAATGCTTCCCCCCAACCCTTGCTCACGCTCTTGTGCACTCGCACAGGCTCATCGTTTGCAAGCACCATAATGAAGAAGTCCATGTCCATGTTATGATCATTTAATTGGACACCTTACTGGCACCGCCACTCATCCCACTGAAGTAATGTAATATGCTTGTTTAACCTTGTAGTAAAACATTGCGGCAGTGCGCATTTTCCCTGAATAGATATTTTCACACCTTGGCGATTCTTCGTTGCAGTGAAGGCACCTATACAAAAATATGAATGTGAACTTGTATACATTTGGATAGGTTCTTTTGCAGCTCAGTACACCACCACAACAGTGAAACCACCTTTACAGGGAGTTACACGCCGACTAATACAGTCGAGCTCGCTTATAACAAACCTGAGCGTGACACGGTATCCGTTCGCTTTATCCTGAAGTTTGTAGTAAATTAAACACAGCTTTTAAAAAGTTGCAGGTGAACACAGAATTTTTTTCTCGAAGAAACAGCCCATATTCCGCATGTTTCAAAGAGCAGAAGTGATAGTAGGTTTTTGCTTAAAGTGGCAGCGTGCTCTTCCCCGAGGCCATTAATGTAGCCAATTGCTACAAGCACGCTTGTGGGCGCTGGCTCCAAAGTTTCAGCGTTGTTGTCACCACCGATTTCTCCAAATCACTTGTGCCGTGCACTACCTTAACAATGACTTCATCTGTGCATGGTTCTGCACGGTTCGTATCATTATCAGTCGTAATGAAATCACACCAGCAGATGTCCCACTCTTCCATCTATATGTGGACGACGCGCTGCCACGAACTGCCTCCGAAGGGGTCCTGGTCGGAAGCTCCAGGGTCGGCATCGGGTTCGATGTCCACGAAGTCGATTGATGATTGATTGATATGTGGGGTTTAACGTCCCAAAACCACTATATGATTATGAGAGACAACGTAGTGGAGGGCTCCGGAAATTTCGACCACCTGGGGTTCTTTAACATGCACCCAAATCTGAGCACACGAGCCTACAACATTTCCGCCTCCATCGGAAATGCAGCCGCCGCAGCCGGGATTCGATCCTGCGACCTGCGTGTCAGCAGCCGAGTACCTTAGCCACTAGACCACCGCGGCGGGGTGACGACGAAGTCGGCCTCGCGAAAACAAAAGCAGTTTCACAAACATGTCGCCGTCATCTGCCCACGAAGCATTCCCCGCCTCCACAACTGAATACAGAGACGTCAAGTTGACTGCCGAGCGGTCAACAACTATGAGCAAGTGCTGCACTGCGCGGCACCAATAACATGCTGTGCAGTGGCATTTTGCATGTTATGTTGAGCGGCAGGAAAACGCATGGAAGGCCTCCTGTCTGCCATCCTGACCACACACGCACACCAACAGTGAGCAAGGTGCACACGTGCAACATACAAGCCAGAACGTGTGGAACTGCTCTGGGCCCATTTCTAGCCAGAAAAAGAAACTTCTTAATTTGAGCCAGCATGGCTGGCAATGCTGAACAGTGAAGACAAGCGAAGGAGTTGCAACAAAGAGAGCAGAGCAGACTTGCGAGAGACATGCAAGAAAGTTGCGAGAAGGTGCGGAGAGCAGAGTATATGAGGGGAAGGCGACCTTGAAAACGAAGACACATGGGTAAAAGGCAGGTCGGGTAGCCTGCTTGAACATCCATAAAATGCGTAACTGACACGTAGAAAAACTTGGAAGATCGACCTGCGCGTGCAGAGATCAAAGAATCGCATTGTGGAACCGGCATGCTTGAGCGGCCCCACAGACTTCAGTCTGTGGGGCCGATAATTCTCCATTCATTCCCTGTAACAGCAGTTTTTGCACTTCTGCACACAGGCAGTGGGCATGCAGCGCGAAGTGAGCGAGAACAGATCCTAAACACGAAATGAATCGCGAATTATCAAAGTCGGTGGGGTAGCGCAAGCGCGTGCAATGGAACGATACAACACCGATCCAGAGGAGAAGCCGACGATCGGGTACATTCGCCGGCCGATGATATTGACAGATAGCCTCGTCACTCTGGGTCGGCGACACCAATGATAACATAACAAGGCCACTGATCAAAAACTAAAGGGAGACTAGTCAGTCGACCGGTCTTCGAAAGGCTGGTGGCAGTGTAATAACATGGGCCTCGTCGGGAAATGCAGAGTGCTCACAGTAGTGGTGGGGACAAAGAACGGAGGGGTGTGTAACAAAAAACAGACAGGGAGAGCGAAAACAAGAGGGCTGCGGAGGCTGGGTCAGCATTTAACAATAAGAATCTATGGGCATCTACCGGTGGTCAAAAGTTGTTTCCCGGGAAGTCACTGGAGCGCCGCCTCCATCCGCTGTAACCGAGTGGCAGCGTACCGATACGTTCGTATTTATTTGTGCCATTGAAATAATGTACGAGGTCTGTTAGAAAAGTATCTGGCCTTATTTTATTTTACAAGCACCTGATAGATTTCAAACAAGCACGCTTGCATCAGCGGACCTTTGACCTTTCTGTGCATGCGTGGATTTTTTCCCGCCTGCCAATAGCGTCAGCCGCTGGGATTCAGCATTTGAGTGAGGTAATGCACAGTGCTCTTGTCAGTTTTTTGATGCAAGGAAAATGACGGAGCGACTGGAGCAGCGCTACTGCATCAAATTTTCCCAGAAACTGGGCGACAGCCAAGTGGAAACCATTGAGAAGATCAAGACAGCTTTCGGTGACGACGCTATGAGCTGCGCACCCATTAAGGAGTGGTACAAACAGTTTAAAGATGGCCACACTTCGGTGGAAAGCAAGCCACGCTCGAGTTGACCATCAAGACACCGAAATGACCTGGTCATTGCCCAAGTGAATGCTGTGGTGATGCGGGACCGTTGTGCGACTATCCGGGAAATTATGGAGAAATTGGCATGAGCACTTTCTCTGCATATTCCATTATGACCGAAGATTTGGCCACGAGGAGAGTTGCGGTGAAACTCGTACCATGAAACTGCTCATGGTGCAGCAAAAGCAACTTCCTATTGAAGTCTCGCAGGACATGCTGGATTTCACGAGCAGAGATCAGGGCTCGTAGCACCTAAGTGAAACAAAATTCAAGGGTTTTCAAGGACTTTTAAGGACGTAACAAATACTTTTCAAGGACCTAAAATAACACTTGAAACCGCAGAAAATGACAACACCACTTTTTACAGCATAAAAATTTGTAGTTTATATTATTTGTAAGGTTGACATCATGAGCACACTCAAGTTACCATGGACTGTAGTCGCTTTTGTGTTTTCAATGTGTCTCATACTCTTCATGTGACTTTTAGGAGCAGAGTCCCCCATTGATGACATGTCAAAGCTCTTCCTACATGGGAAGACTTTGCCTGATCCGGGTGCAATCCACTCCCTATTAGCAGCAATGCATGACCAAGACTGCTGGAATTGGCACTTGCCCGGCATAGTTCCAACATAAGCGACGCAATCGTGGATATCTGCGCACACTTCCAGTCTCCACAAAAAAAGCCAGGCTTAGCTCCGTTGCTGCTGTAACCACGCAAGCGTTACCACAACTGCAGTGTACTCAAAGAGTACACTGTACTACAACACTGCACTACGACTAGAGAAACGGATTGAATTGGATGGTTTGTCGGCTAGAGAGCACATAGTTGCCAGGCAAGCAAAAAAAAAATCCACTAAATTATGACTTCGATTGACGAAATTCGGGGACCTTTAAGGACCTCAAACAATTTTAAGGGTTTTCAAGGCCTTAAAAATGTGATTTCAAAATTCAAGGGTTTCAAGGACCGCTACGAACCCTGAGTGACCCTAACTTCATGAACACCATTATCACTGGTGATGAGTGTTGGGTGCATGGGTATGACCCGGAAACCAAATCCCAGTCGTCACAGTGGCAGCATTCCGCGTCCCCAAAACCAAAAAAGGCCAGCCAACTGTGCAGCAACGCCAAAGTGATGCC